ATATATATATAATTTGTAGTTTTAATTTTTTAAATTTTCTGATATACCATTCAGGTTTCTGCCTTGATTACATAAACGTCTAATTAAACCTACGTTTACAGAAAGCCCACCACCCTGTCTATCGAGATAACTTTGCACTTCAAATGAATCCAAAGCATTTTTTCGATCTAGCTGTTGTTGAATTAATAACTATTCACATGTAGTAGTTTGTTCTTTAGATGTGGTGCACCAACTTGCTCATTTATTCCATGTACAAATGTCTTTATATTCTTATGTCGAATGATTCGCTGTGTAATTAGACATAAAAAATATGTTTACAATGCAGTGAAACCATCTACTAACTACATCACTGTTGCACATTATGTGTATATTGAACAGTGTAACATTTTCTGTTTTAAAAACGTTTCTGCCTCATCTACCTTACATATTTACGTTAATCTTGTGTTCAATATTAGTTTAACACTTCCATAATGGAAAATCATAAGTAGCAAGCCGAATTAATGTTTACTAGCTCAGATAAATAGGGAATTTAAGGGATTCACAACTACTTAAGAATGGCCTTGTATGTCATTCAACTGCCTCATAAAATTTAACATAGTAAAACGATTGAGATTTTCCCATTGGATCAATAATTATTAAAAGGTGTGTACTTGGTGTTGTTGTATTTCACTTGTTATCGCTCTCCCCTTTTTTGTAGATCCTTCTGTAATTCAGACGTTAAGAAGATGTGAACAGATTAAAAGAATTGTCTATGTATCTTGTAATATCGAATATGCTATTGAAAATTTTGTACAGTAAGTTTGACCTTTTTGTATCATAAATTTCTACTCATATGTGGAAGATGTGCATTCGGATGCTATATTTGATATTGAGAATTTATTCATATTACCTTATCAGTAGTTATTATGTCCCAGATGTTGTTGGACAACGGAGTGACATAGTTTTGCAATGCTTATTCGGTCTCTTACTATGTGCACATTTTGTCGTATCACCCACTACTCATGGCATATAATTTGACACAAAATGTAGCAGTTATAGCTCTTGTTTGATATTAGGTGATTTAAGACAGTTGGCAGAAAGCCTGGACTTCATTATGTGTAAATATTTTATCTGTTGCCGTAGTCTGTTGTTCATTTCATTGCATGGTTTTAGAATGCTAATTGGATGAGATCATCATGTTGTATACGCCTAAAGTAAAAACTTGTAATGAATAAGGAGAAGTTTTCTCAACCAAGCATTGATTATTGTAGTAAGCTTCTAATAAAATCAACTATTTAGAATCCCTTTAAAAATATTCTTGTTATGTCTTTTTATCGCATAGTTCACACTTTCAAATTGTACTATTTGTTTAAACTTTTTCTTCTGCTTTTTAGTTTTGCTAGACCATGTTCCAAACGCTGCAAAGGAATACCATTCATTCCAACTATGGCTGAAGCTGTTGATCTTTTCCCACAAACACGACATGTTGAAGTCATATTACTGCTTGAACGCATGCAGTCTGTATCTTGACAGTTTTCTATATTATTTAAATAAAAAACTAAACGAGAACTTTGTAAAAATTCACTTTTCCCTTAAACTCACTACAGCTCATAGTTAGTTAGTAGGTATTTGACAAGTGCAGTACTGCTTAGTCAAGAGTTTCAGTTTCCCTACTCATAATGGTATGAGATCATAGGATTATAGTATGAAAATCACTTATAATAGCAACATAATATTAAGGCTAATTGGAAAGTGTTTCAATAGCAGATATGCTTGGCTGAATACTCTATAGCAATATGATAGGTCTATATTTTTTAATAAAAACTTTTGAATATCATTTTAGGTCTGGGTAGTGCAGATAATATACGATGCTTCAACGTGTTATGTCTACAACTTTTGTAATTAATCAACTCTCGCCATATAATTCAGAAGTACCCATAAATAGCATATGTTATTATTATTATTGTATCCTTTAATTCCTAGAGGAACATAGGGCTTCAGCTGCGCGTCTCCATTGCCTTCTGTTTTCTGCCAACTTTTTCACCCCACTCCAAGTCTGCCCACATGCTTTCATCTCCTCTTCACATGATCTCCTCCAAGTCACCCTTGCACTTACGACCAACTCGCCGCTTCCCTTTCGGGTTCCACTCGAGCGATGGCTTGTCTAGTGATGTCACTCACTTGATGGTTTCCTCAGAGTATGGCCAGCCAATCCATCTCCATTTCTTCCTGCCTATTTGTTTCACAATCGGTTCCTGCTGTGTTGGTTCGCTCACTCCCAGAGATCCCTGTTGCTGATCTTTTCTGGCCGGCCATCTGATCTTGAGTAGTACTGAGCGAAGACAACTGTTAATGAAGGTCTGAAGTTTGTTTCAGATGCTCTTTATGACGCGCTGGCCAAGTCTCTGATCCGTATAGTGAGTAGCACTGACTTCACATTGGAGTGTAAAATCCGGATGTTATTTTTGATGATGAGTGCTGTTGACTTCCATACAGACTTAAGAGCAATGAAAGCTTGTCTTGCTTTTCCGATTCTGGCTTTGATATCCTCGTCAGTTCCACCTGTAGTTGAAACGATGCTTCCCAGGTAGGTAGGTAAAGGAGGTTGTTTCTTTCAGGTTTCTCCCATTTATGCTGGCTGATTGTTGTGTGTTGTTGTTGCTGGTGTTGGCCAGGAATCTTCATCACCTCTGTTTTATCTATGTTCACCTGAACGAAGTCGTATCTTTGATGCTTCTTCTACCAGCTTGTTGCTTTTCACTTGCATATGTTCCAGTTTGTGGGAAATTAGACATATATCATCGGCGAAGTCCAGATCCTCCTAGTTTTTTTGTAAAAGTGAGTCCATTTGATGCCTGTTTCCTCATTGCCCGTTGTTTGTCGCATTATTCAATCTGCTGCAATCAGGAACATCATTGGTGATAGTAGACAGCCTTGTCTCACTCCCGTCCTCACTTCGAAAGCTTCCCGTTGTGGATTACTTGGCATGCAGCATTGTCGTATAACTGTTGGATGAGATGTATAATTGTCGATGGGACCCCGTAGTAGCGAAGTAGTTGCCAAATCACCTCTCGATCGGCGCTGTCTGTCGAAGGCCTTTTCAAAGTCGATGAAGTTGAGTGAGGTGGAGAGTTGACTGCCATTCCAAGCTTTGTTCAATGATGATTCGTAAAGTGACGATTTGATCAATACATGATTTGTTTCTCATGAATCCAGCTTGTTCCGGTCGGAGTTTTTCATCTAGGGCTTGTTTGATTCTCTCCAGGATGATGCGGCTTAGTATTTTGCTTGGGATAGCATATGTTATATCTATTTCGAATTTTTCTACATATTACCTGCTACGATTTGGATTTATTCAGTGGCCTTGCGCTTAAGGTATACTCTCCAAAGTCCTTTCAGCAAAATGTCTATCACTGTTGTTGTAACGATGACAATATTAGACTATGTGTTTGTTGTGCTGTTAATTTAGCACAACAACTGATCACACTTGGACTACTTTTCCCACGCTGAGAAGGTAAAGGTTTACTTCTCATGCAAAAGGCAATATAACTTGATATTACGACTGTTTATATAGTTATTTTACATAGCCAAATAGATTACTAGTTTAAAGTTTGAAATTTATATTTTGACTGGTCAGCATGTATTAGTAAAAATCCTCTGATTCCACCTCTTACCTACATTAGAATCATGGGTCGCGTAGGGGAGAGTGACTTAATATGTCTCTTCGTGATCTAAAGGTCATCCAAATAATGAGTTTGGTGAGAACTTAAGTACCTGGGAACAGGTATCTGCCAAAATCGCAAGTTATATACACTGACAGTGCAATCTCGAGTATAGGTGATTACTAAGTGTGACGAATATGGTGTTGCATAATGAGACTATGTCGTTTGCATAGTTTTTCTTCAGATGAAATGTCTTCATCAATAATAAACACAGTCTTCAGAGTAATTTAGATGATGAGGTTATGGAGAATTGACGAAACTAGGAAGCCCTAGCTAATCTCCCCTTTCTTCTTTTTCAGCGTTCGCTATAGATGGCTGTAAGATCCTTGTTCACCTATAGTGGTTTGTACAGAGAAGTCTATCACTGATTTGATATGATACAGATTTGTCTGTGTTGGTCTACAATGTCGTGGTGTAGGTAGACTTAAATTCCCTTTTGATTTTTACTTTCATTTAGCGTCAGGACAGGCAGCCCTTCACATTCGTCCTTCATTGCAATACCTCTTACCTTGTTAAAGTGAAGAGTCTGAGTTACTTTATAGCTTACTACATAAAGGCCTTTGAGGGTCTTTCTCATGTTAATCACACAGGGAGTAATGACGACTGACGGCATAAGATTTGTTGCCAGACTATTCAAATACATTAGAAATATGTCCAGGTACTACTTCACATATTTTATACCATTAGTCAGCAATGACGTTATGATTGATAAGCAATTATATACATAATCACGTAATAGCCAAAATGGTTATACGGATTAAACACTATTCGGTTCGGAGTACGGGTATGTCACACTCAAATGTTCCACGTTTAGCGCAAGAAAGAACGCCACTTCAATGAAGATAAACAATCTTGATGTTCAGCAGGCCACAGGATAATGATAAAAACGCTGTACATTTTATAATAGCATTTTTTTTCCTAAATGATAATTCACTGATAAAATACATGTACAAAAAAGCAATGATATAAAATTAATTTTTCAACTATTTCTTAGCCTGGCAGGATACATAATTCAGAGAAATAATAAGCAGAAATCACTTATAATCAAAGTAAGAGATATTAATTCATTATTATCACAGTAATGTACACAGTGGTTTGAGATGAACGTTCTGACCTAATAATTATGAAAATCATATGTGATAAGAAGAAGTAGAAAGGGTAGGCAGTCAATAAACGTTTTTTCCCCAATTCACTGGATTTGTGCTCGGAGGTTAGTTATACGATCGTAGACTTCACGATTTGCTTTTCCAACCTCCTGTTGTATATACAATAAATCATATTCAGACTTTTCACGAACAGCTAGTTGAATAGCTTCTTCAATTTTCCTAAAAATTTTGTGTTAGAACAAAAATTAGAAGGAAATGAATTATATTTAATTTGTTATTTTCATTTATCAGGAAAATAAATGCATGTTAAATGATGTAGATTGACTTTTGTTCTATGACAGCGCATGTGTGAAGTTGTCAATCAGGAGACAAACTGTCAGAAAATATTCTTATTGTAAGTATTTTTGTATTTTTTTAGTGTCGGTGGCGCAGCAGTTAGGACGCTTGCCGACCATATACATGGTCCGGGGTTCGGTCCCCGGTCAATGCACTCCTTTACCTCGCCAAGCCAGTAATAAAGCTGGTAAAGAGGGAAGGTTGGGCATGAGGCTAGCAACCCCATCCTGTAAAAATAAACACCACTGCTACAGAGACTTCAAACCTCTAGCTTGAAGCCCCCTATGTTCCACTGGGAACGTGGAGGAATGAAAAAAAGTAATTTTGACAATCTTTTAATTTTCCGTGTATGTACAATAAAATATGATCGTTTCATCCCCTGAAACATATACCTTTTTTTAAACTATTATATTGTAGTTTAGTCTGATATCATGTTGTTATGTACTGCTGCGGAGTGGTTAATCGTAGTTTTCCCCGTCGCCAATTATGTTATGTACTCGTCGAGTAGTTAATAGTCCTGACGCAGAAAGAGGGAAATCAAAGACCACTAGGTTTACGATGATACTTTTATTTTCCGGACAAGGAAAATAAATGTCACACATATGTGTGAGTGGAAGGGTACTTAGATGTACGAAATGTGTGTGTGAACAATAATACAGTACAAAAGTATATACGAAAATGGCTAATACACATGAACCAATAAATAGCCAGTCTTAACAGGATTGGTTGTAATATCATGTGACAACAAGGTCATACATGTTTATTTAGTTAGTGGACAGACAAAAGCATACTGTCAGTTATAATGGAATATCGATCCATATACGCATAGAAAAATATAACAGACTGTCAAAAACAAAACACACATCATGTGGATACATATCACATGTTTCTTTAGGAACTGATACACTATGGTGTGACAGTCTTCCTAATTAGAAATGTTTCAGTACTAACAGTGAAATGTCTGCTAGTCAGTTTACAGACTAACGTTTCGTGATAAATCTGTTAACATTACAAGTTTAAATTCTGATAGCTATTTGTGTAATATTGAATAATATTATTTCTCATTATTCGGTTTTAAAGATAGTAATAATTTACGTATCACAGGTGTTGATGTTGTGTCGTTTCTATCTCATGTATATGGTTTGCATGCGAAAAACAACAGAGGCTTATTGTTTAAACTTTTTTCTTACCAAACTATGTTGGTTTTCAAGACAGTTCAAAGACATACACAATATCAAAAAGTTCAAATATAGAAATCAGATAAATAAAAGGCGTATTATTACTACCAGACACCTGTTCTTGTGAGATTTCTTTAGAAATTCATAGGAAACCGTAATTAAGCTTCTTAATAAGTTGGATAATAGTATGGTATCAGCTAAACAATTCTCTTGGCACGATTTCACTAAATAATCAACTCTACCAGACATTGTGTACAACAACTGCCAAGTTGAAGAGATAGATGAAACCAGTCAGTTGCGCTATCAGAACATACAAATCTAAATTAATGTAGGAGGATAAATTTTAATACGATGAGATGGGGAAGCACTAGCACAGTCGCACAAAACAGAGTACAACATTCTAAAAGATCAATATAGTGTATTGGGAGGAGAAGTAAAGAACTGAATCCTTCTGTGTTCATCAAGTCAATAACAAATAAATACCATAGAAATGGAATAAAGTCAATACTAATCTAATTACTACTAAAAATCAAATCATGAGAAACATTAGAAGCATACACTCAGAGTCAGCAAGTAATGTGAGCAATTCGCCATTGAAGATGCACAATTTGGTTTAAAAAGTCACCTATATCAGATAAATCATCCTATCATGGTATAACAATTTATAGTTCATTGCTCATGTTCTTTCTTGTCACCTACTCTTGAAGTTCCATGTCAGCCAACTACAGAAAAAACCTCTGAGTATCCTGTAACCAACTGAAAAATAAACTGGCAGTTTTCTTCTCAATACTTCGACAATCAAAAGTGCTTGTCACATCAAAATAATACTCAGCGGTGCTAGAAGTTTCAAAAACAACTATTTATCTTTCAGGAGTTGGTTTGTAGGGATTCGATTTTTGCTTTTCGAGTTTGCTCACGAATTCATATCAGTTAGAGAACCAGTGAAAACCGGGGAGTACTGGACAGCCGTTTCGTTCAAGTTTGGGACTAATCGGCAGTACACATCCACTAGATTTCGAACCCAGGATCTTCCAGTTACAAGGCAAGCTCGTATACCATTCAGCCACTGGGACCTGATTCAATGGCCTATAAATTCTAACTTTTACCAATTTTTGATTTTAGTGCGACCACTAACCAATGTCATCGTCGGGAAATCCATCCTCACTCTCGACTAGATGGACCTCACTGGTCACGATTTACTGGAACTCCACGAAACTCCGTCCTGTGGCAAGTCACTAGCGAGCATCATATTAATTTTCAAGAGTTAATATGTAAGGATTCCATTTGTTTTTCGAGTATGACCACGGATTGATATCAGTTAGAGAACCATTGAAAACCAGGGAAGGTCCTGGGTTCGAAACCCAGTGGGTCTGTACTGCCGATGATTCCCAAACTACGACGAAATAGCTGTCCAGTACTCCCTGGTTTTCAATGGTTCTCTCACTGATAGCAATCCGCGGTCAAACTCAAGAAACAATTATCTTACATAAGCATAATTTTGTGAATAGGAAAATAAAACATTTTGAATAGTTAGTCCAACTAATGTTGTCCAGTGTCAAACTTACCCAATCATTAGCCAAAATCGTACTCTTCTTTCAGGTGGAATTCTCGGAATTAATCTAATTGCATCTTCGATATGATTGCCATCAATACAGATTTTAGTCAATATCTTTTAATGTAAAAAAATACGGAAATTTTGATCAAAGAATTATTAGTTTTGATATTAGAATAGAATTTAGGTACTGTGGTAAAGTATGATTTCATTATGGAGAAAATTTATTTAGATAAAGTCTCATAGTGTTATAAAGTAATATTTACTGATGACGTTTCGAGCATAATTCATTGCTCATAATCATACCGAGCTACGGGTAATAAATCTTCCTCGAAAAGTCATCAGTACATATTACTGTATAACGCTGGGAGACTTTATCAAAATATATTTTATCCATAATAGAATTACTAGTTTTGCCTTCGAAAATTTCAGAAAACTGAGTTTTCTTAGTCCGGAAGGGGTAGGGGGTTATGACATTGAATAGATTGGACCTTAGTTAGGTTTATCAGTTAGACACTATTAGAGAATTTGAAACCAAAACGAAAATGCTATCAGTAGCTGAATGCTTTTTCTCCGATGTTATTTTGTGATTACGAAGGCATCTTTGAGTATTTTGGTGTAAATTATGTCAAATCTTAGGTTTTAGAGATGATTGCATTTGGACAACTTTGCTAAATTAACTCAGTGTTTTTGCATCGTTGTGAGAATTTATGGCACCACATTACATAGCAAATAAGTAAAAATCAAACATCATAAGTTGTTGGATTTATACTAACGAGTGAAATGGTGATGTGATTGCCCTGGACTCAACCTCCCTCAGGAATATCTGTTTCTGAGGTACAATACGATGAAAGAATTGTTCAGTGTTGCATTCATTCTATTTTTCTTAAGTGATAGTAATTTACAACGAATTACTTCTTTTTTAGTTTATTTCTCTATCTGCTTTTGTTTGTTTCTTGGACATCTTGAATATTTTATCACTTTATCGAAAACTTTGGAGATATCTTCAAAAGTATCCATTAAAAGTACATTAAACTACTTAATACAGCTTATAAACATAATCCTATTCTCAAATACCGCGATTAACTTACAGAATCCAGTTATATTAACAAAAAGAAGTAATACTTAATATTTAACATAACTTATAAGTAGATGAAGAGAAAACAATGATGTATAATCCATCGAATTCTAGTTTGTTCTCCAGTGTTAAATGAGTGATATTGAGGTTAAGCGTACAGTGCTAAGTTAGGTAGGGAAGTTGATCGATGAGGTTGTGAAGCTACATCATTTGAGATGGCTAGTACGCGTATGACGGATGCTGAGCCATCACCTTCTTCGTCCAGCTATGTTAGCTGACATATCATTAGATTAAAAAAGAGTTAATCATAATGAAAACAAAACCTGACATTAATCCATGAAGTATTTGACAGTTAATTTGAGCTACGTATGGAGGTGTAAGCTGCTTGATCAGTGTACTCAAGACGTTAAGAATCAATAGCTGGAGAGTTTTGGTAATATGGCTCAAAATCGTTCTCAATGATTTAGATGCATTTACTCTTTGTGATCTCCCATATCCATTATGTCCTCAAGTTTTTCACGCTATTATTCTTTCTCCCTTGTATTTATGCTCATTATAGTTCTTTTGAATATTTCCTCTAAATGACGTGTGCCAGTCTGAACTGCTGTACTTCTTCCTGTGCAAAATTCTATGCTGAAATTCAGGCAATCAATCAGTTTGTTTTGTTTCACATTTTCCTGATCAAATCCAAACCAATCAAAACTTCAAGATAACCTTCGCATACTCAAAATGCAGAGTTCCTTTGAGTCAGGTAACGAGTCTATTGTTGCAGAACACTAAACAACTAAATACCATTAGAAGGGGAGGCGGAATTCTGTTTCTCCTTGCTAACCGATATGCAGACAAAATAATTTCAAATTTCATTATCACTTAATTAACTAGACTCATTTATTTGTATGGCGTTATTCAAGATGTTAATGCTACAGCATTCATCGATACGATTTGTGTAACACTTTAGCAAAATATTAAAGATTATGGCACTTTATTTGTCTCCTGTATTCTAGTGCGCTCCCTTGTGTCTTCAGAGCTTAAATCAACTAACTGATCCATACAGGTTTTCCAATATCAATGTATGAACAGAAAGAACAACATTTTTAGCAGTATACTGATTAATGTTAATAACTTCACTAATTATATCAAGTTGTATACTAATTGAATTAGCATATACTACCTCAACATTAACAGGTGGTTTCTTGGTTCGAATCATTTTATCCATTTCCAACCAAGATTCATTGTTTATTGCCATACCAACAATACGTAGAAAAGCAAAGCGTTTCTCTGATACTCTAAACTCTCTACGTAATTGATCAGCTTGACGTTCGCAATGTCCTGTAGCCAATAATCGACAGAGTGTTGTATTTAAAGATTGACCTATCCAAAGCTTATCATGTGCACTGTTGCCAGATATCACTGTCTCGGGTAATATACGAGTTGAACCAGAGACAGCTTTAATTTCAAAAAGTGGTGCAGATATTTCTTGTTTTTCAAGTTTACTTTGAAATTTCAATAAACGTATCTGAGCATTACATTCCTGAAAATGAAAACAGCAACAAAAACAAACAGAGTCAAACACAAAGTTAAACACCTAAATTACAGTAAATGTATGGGAAAAAATTGTAGCAGGAGAATCATTCTCACTTGATGGGAACTAATGTAACCTTCCGATTGTTACTGATGTTTGGAATCCTATTTGGCTACCGAGGGAACTGTTAAGTGCTGTGATTTGACGTTAGATGTTAAAAGACAATAATAAGTATACAACGGACAAACAAAAGAAGACAGAAAGGGTCATTCTGTATTTAAATCAATATGCGTGGTTGGTATCTTTAACGTCAAACAGGATATTTACGCTTTTTTTCGATTTGAAGAATCCTCAATTAACACACAAACCAAGTTTACAGTTCGTGCTTATCATAATCAAAAAATATTTTTAAATGGTACAAATATGGACAACAGTTGTATATTTATTCCGGAACTAAGAAGTAAGGAATCGAATTTATGAAGTTCTGTTTACTTCTCTCACAAAAGATCTCCCATAAAGAGCAGTAACAAGTAATCTGTATGTGGCGTGTGCTAGTGACAAGATTTATAAGTAGTACATAGACAGAGATGTAAATATTGACATCGCCTGTAAGAATATAGAATGGTGGAGAGATGGATTTAATGAACGATGCTTGTGAAACAACATGGAAAACACGAATGGAAGACAAATCAGTACAATACTGAAGATATATGCAAATCTTGATTCTACTACACAGTAGATGTATTTTGCCTGTCGATGTGTGTCGAGTCGCCAATAAATAATTCCTCTACAGAATTCTCTTGTCTTCTGCCGTTACATACAGCATCCTAGTTTCACGTATGACAAGATGCTTTCAAGTATATCACCTGTTAGGTATTCTTTTTCGTTTGTCGCTATGCTAGGCAGTCAAAGCTAATTCTCAGTAGTCGGAAGGGAAGATTCCTTTCACATTCAATGAATATACTGTATATTTAAAATATTGAAGAGTGTCAAATAGCGGTTTACTTAAATTGTTTGATAGTTAACAGTTGAAAAAAAGTCTTCACTGTGTGATTCAATGCACTAGGCTTATGAAGTATGCTTATTTCATTGCACGCATATTACTGTTTTAAGAAAAAAAAACATTTACGTGAACTTCAACGTTAGTGTTGCATATGAAGTATTCAGTCAAAAATTTAAGCACACTTACCATGTAACTAGTAAACAGTATGACTGTCATTTTGTGAATTTTTAGTAGACTCTCATGATTTTCATTTACAGATTACAACTTTATACTATCTATCAAAGTTATGACAATAAAATTTTAACAGTAACTCTCATCCAATAGGTCCGGTATTATTGTCTAGTAGTGCAATCACTTGCTTATGAGTGCTGAGTTGTATTAGTTTAATACATAGGAATGGCTATAAAATTCTAAAATAACCTGGGTAACATAATCGCTGAAAATATTTTCAATAACACAATTACTACACGGAAAAAGTTGACACATTTTACCTGGGCCATAAAATCATTCTTCAATTGTCGATAAATCTCTTCAGCATTCTGTAGCAATGTCAGTCTTGAAGTCAAACTCTGAAATTAAAATAAGCTAGACACTTAGTGACGTTTATACATCACTTTTATAAAATAAAATTTACAGAAGTTTTGTAAATCTGCTTTAATGTAAAAAGGCAGGAATTAAATATTTCCCGAACAATGAACCATAACATTAACATTTGCCTATTACTGAACTTAGTTGTTTGGATTAGATTTTTCAGATATCACGCTATGAACTACAATTATTGTGTGAGTGTTGATTATTACTACCCAGTTTTTCAAGCTGAAGTAAGTGGAGCGGGACTTAAACATGGGGCCAAATAGCTGTAAGTCGTGTGTCTAAGCCATTTATCACTGAATAAGAATCGAGTTAATAAGCCACTCGAATTTCCAACTGCCAACAGACTTTAAATTTCTATTTTGAATTTTGATCTGAGTCAGTTACTCAGAAATAACTCATATAAACATATTTTCAAGTATTGGTTTTGTTTGATCGGTTGGATGACTTCATTATGAGCTGATATTAGTTAGAGAATCATTGGAAAATCTGGGAGTACTAGACGGCTGTCTCGTCCTAGTTTGGGGCTCTACAGCGGTACGCACCCACCGGGGTTCGAATCCAGGACTTTCTGGTTATAAGGCGAGCTCGTAGACCATTAAGTCACTGGGACCCGATTCAATGACCCATAGATATAAAATAAAACACCTATGAGAGTCAACAAATTAATTATTTTAATCAAATTAGGAAATGTGGGTATTTACCCATATATGTTTTTATTAAAATTGAGGATGACGTTTGGTAATAAGTCCAATGTTGTTATGCTGATTTCGGGTAGCAATGAGCTCCTAGTTTTCCTTAGTGGAAATAAATAGTAACAAAGAATGATAAAAATCACTTAGAATTATTACGAATTATTATTCATCTTACAAACTACACGGTAAATACACAGGACGTAGAATGTGTTAGTGAAGTATTAAGCATACTGGAAGATGAAGAGAAAAGATACCAGAGTTAGATAACTCATAGCTGATCCGCTGTTGTTTTTTTTACTCACCGTCATAGAGAGATATAACAGATTTCACTCTTCAAACACTTTAGTACTTCAGGGATTTGACTTATTTTTCAAAGGGTATACACACCCAACTACTTTTTTATGGCATGAAACTTCATTTAACTTCCGGATACAATTAAATTAAATAACCTTCAACTAGTCAGAGGATGTTACCTAGAACTATTCATTGTTATTATAATCACCTGAAAGGATACACAGAGACTCACGACTGAAAACGCACTTTTATAAATATATCATCATCCTTCGAAAAGATTAAATAACGTTCGCTGAAAGTAGGAAGTCTCCCGCTTTTAAATTGAGGGGCCCTCCCACAGTAAGATTATTTCACAAGTGAACATAATGAATATTGTGCAAGTCATTTGACTTCAGGTGTTGACAAATGTTCAAGGCGATTATCTTGTGATAGCAACGAGTTACTTGGCAGCTATGTAATAAGTATTATTAAACTGGAGATACTACGTCATTTAGCTTCTAAATATTTGTTAACTTCAAGCAAGAAAAATACAGTGAAAATAAAGTTTAAAGAATGCTTACATTCTCCCGATAAGCTGAAAGAACAGCTTTTTTAGCTTCTGCAGCACGATCATTTTCTTGGTTAAAGGTGAGAAGAGCAGTTTGTGTTGAATTTTCTGAATCAGATGACGAATGATCAACTTGGCCTAATGTTTCCTGATAGATAGCAAGAGCTATTGGATGTCGGCGAAGTACCATGGCAAGATCTGCTGGCGGTAATTTACCTTGTTCTTGTAATGCTACTACGACCACAGTAATCAATTCAGGGTCGCCTGTTTCTACCGCTCGAACTAATGCACGATTATAACGTGATAATTTTAAAAGTAATGGCACTTGACGCCACGCACGTGGCTCATACTCTAATATTTGTTCTGCAACCGTCTCGCGACCAGCTAAAATAGCTTGACTGGCAACATCGGCGAAATCCAGATGTGAAACAGGAGTATTAAAGAAGTTGACACGATTACCACTGGAATTCGATTTACTCTCTGGGGAATCATTGAGTAATTTATCAACGATAGCTGCCACACGTTCTGATATCAGTGCGGCTGCTCCCGATGATGTTATAGAGCTGTTGCACGCCCAGTGAGCAAGTAGATGTGAAAATGTACATGTTCCATAATTTCCCTGACTTTCTTCAAGAATGCTTCTTGGCCACTTGTGCTTTTGATGAATTCGAACAAGTTCAATGGCAATTGGATAATGCCGACGAACTAACAAACGCTCAAACAATTTGTTTGGTCCTAATTCACGGAATTCACGCCATGTTAGAGCGATTCCAAACCAAGGAACAGCTAAACTGTTTAGTAAACGTAATGTCTGACAAACTTTAGCTGCATGATCAGCACTGAAAAGCAAGGCAAAGTTAACAAACAATGAAACAGAAGACTTCGTGTGATTGAAATTAATATTATAATTCAGTATTATTACTATAGTAAAATGATGAATTTTAGAGTGCTACGAGAATGGTGAAAGATACAAACGAATATAGCTGTCCAGCGAGTGAAACTAATTACTGCATGATATTTATATTCATGATGCATAAATATTTTCATAAATGAAGATAAAATGGACTAAATAAATTTGAGGATGACTTTTTTTGTTTTTGTCATCATTTCTTCTTACCCGATGGAGTCACAGCTAGTGTCTAGTCAAGTCTACTAGAACAACATGAATGTCATAAATCCTGATGAAGAATAAATATGTAACAGATATAAAGAATAACTTATAGAAAGCATGCACTTACAGCTCTTTTACTTTAGCCTCCACTGAACAATTGTCAGGAGTAGTAGCAGTAGTACCACTAGTAGTTGTTGCAGTAGTATCCGTCGTATTAAACATAGCCAGTAACAATATACGACCAAGATGAGCAGATTCAAGTAATTCTTGTTGACAAGCATAATCAACTGTGGCATGACAAGCTGCTTCAATACAATGAGATATTGCATCAATCATTTGATTAGTTTGTTTAATAGGTAATAAATAATCATTAGTACGTCCACAGTTTGCTTTCAAACTTTTATAAGCTGACACTAACCAAGTGGCTGGACATGATGCGCCAATCCGTCCTAATGATTCAAGCGCCGATGGTACCCGTTGTAGTAGTTCATGTGATGTAGGCGTTATAATGCGAATTCCATCAATCTAAAACAAATTGTATGAATATTATAAAGAATGAAATGTGAAATTTTCAAATTCCGTAAAACAATTAAAAAAACTTAACACATGAGATATTTTATTTGAATAATTGTTTTATTAGTGAAAAAACTAGTGATAGCTATCCTCAGTTATCCTCTAACCTTTTATATCGCCAATTTAATGCAGCAATTTCTTAAATACAAGAATATGAATAAAAGTAAACAAGACATAGAGTACATTAATGTGCATTGTAAGATGATACAGTGTGTAGTTTTTTTTCTCATTAGCATGCTTAATCAGGTATTTATTTTACTGCTGCCTTTATCATTGACACTAAGTTCATTTCTAAGCCTAGTAAAACTTATGGGAATGAAGTTTCTAAAATACATCATAGTGTAACAGTTACATCTTTGCAGACTGCTCTGCAATGAAATAAATCTCATAAACCTAGAGATGGTTGATTCTTTAATAAAATCATATTGTGGTGGTGTGATGCAGACATTGTGTTCCAACGGAATATTATTCTCAAAGTAAGAATCATTGTATTTGTTGGTGCTAACGTCAGAATACTATTCCCACAGTTCAATAATGAATTAGCAACAGAATACTATGTATATATTTGAACATTCTATTTCATGTCGTTTAACGTAAACAAAAATCACACGTTCAGAAATTGGTTACAGAATATAAACTATATATATATATATATCAGTTGAAAATATACCTTAGTTTCCGTATCTTGCCTTCTGCTGTCACAATATTGTTTAGTAAACATAGACTTTGAATGATGTAATAAACTGTTTCCTGGTTAAGAGTAAAGTGAAAATAAAATAATGCTCTTCTTATCTTTTGTACTGGAGGTCATTCAGAGTCATCACTACTGAAAAGCAACTTTAATAGGCGCCGAATGTGTAACACAGGTTGCATCAACAAATCCCGTACTTCGACTTTGGAATTCAATGAGGAAGTGATTGCTGTCTACTTTAGAACGAATAAAATATGCTTAGAAATAGCAAAGGCAGACGCATCAAACTGGACTGATAGAAATCAAAAGTCTTACACAATTCAATGAACCCAAGGCTTTTTAAGAAATAGACCACAGCCTTCGTACAGTATTTATTGACAGTTTTTATTTTCTGTATTTTATACAACATAATTCTTTCTCTCAATTCTACTCTCCACTTTTCCTTATCTCTGTGAGACTGTTGCTTTTAACTATATGACAATCTTATGATACATTAGAGTATTCTCGCGTTGATCATATAAGTGTGTTTGTATAGCTCTTAAAAGCTATAGTACTGAAAAAAAATAAGATTTCCTTAGCTGTTACATCATTCTTTTATAACAAAATATGGAGGTTTTCAGTCTGTTTAATATTAGATGTCTACTTTTTGACCTTGGTCCAGTGCATACGGTGAAATAAATTGTTATGCTTTTCATAAGTCTCAATGTGGTGTGTCCCACTGACAAGATTTATCAGTGGTATATGAGGAGACTTTCACCAGCACATTAGTATCAAATAGAGGAATGATAGACTTGACATCAAAGAGCGAAAATGAATCACCAGTATTGCGATGAAACATGGGAGACACTAGAAGTAGACAAAGAGATACAATATGAAGGAGAGAAGTAGCACGACACGGAAGATGTGTGCAAGCGACAATTTTGAAATAAGGTATGCATATTTTCCCTGTATGTGTATATCATCAAATTGCAAATAAACATCCCGTACCAAGTCTCCTGTCTTTTCCGATTACATCACCGTAATTTATAACTTCATTGAATTACACTTTCCTTGTTTTTCGTAATAGCTCTAATAAATATATATTAAGACTAATCAATAACTGGTTATAAAGAAGAGAAGTTGACCACCAGAAATAAGACGTAATATGTTCATAATGAATATGGTAACCTCCTTTATCTACCTGAGAAGCATCGTTTCAACTAAGGGCGGAACTGACGAGGTATAAAAGCAAGGTTCGGGAAATCAAGCCAAGCTTTTATTACTCTCAAAGTCTGTGTGGAGATCAATAGCATTCAGCATGAAAATAAGATACGGATTTTCCACTCCAGTATGAAGTCAGTGCTGCTTTATGGATCAGAGAATTGGCGCGTCGTGAAGAGCACTTCAAACAAACTACAGACCTTTATCAACAGCTGTCTTCACTCAATACTCAAGATCAGATGGCCGGCCAGAAAAGATCAGCAACAGGGATCTCTGTCAGCGAACCAACCAGGAACCCATTGTGCGACAAATATGCAGGAAGAAATGGAGGTGGATTGGTTATACTCTGAGGAAACCACCAAGTGACATAACAAGACAGGCCATCGAGTGGAACCCGAAAGGGAAGCAGCGAGTTGGTCGTCGTGGGAGGGTGACATGGAGGAGGTCATGTGAAGAGGAGACGAAAACATGTGGGCAGACGTGGAGCCAGTGGAAATGTTGTCAGAGAACCGAACGCAATGGAGACGTGCGGCTGGAGCCCTATGCTCCTCTAGGAACTAAGGGAAACAATAATAATAATATAAGAATATGGTAACTTGTAACCATGTATAGTTCTATACAGCAAGATATTCTGGTGTGTTCGGATCTAAACTGATAATCAAGTTGCTGTTACCTGTATATATTTAGGCAAACTTACCATAAAGCATGTAAATAAACAGCAAATTTTTGATGAAAACCACAACCACTCCAAAACTGCTGATCATAAGTAAGAAACAGTGAGAAAAGAAGGAAGAAATAACCTATGCTTTAAAATATTACTTACCTCTTGTGATAGGAATATATCATCTGCATAGAATGCTTCATAAATATCCGATTGTACACCAACAATGGCGATTAAATTATCCCACTGGAGAACAACAGCTGAATTTGTCAACCACAATAATGCTTTAGGATGATTCAATTCATTTGACCGTTGACTAAGTGAATCACTGCTATTCATTAGCATTACTGATATACGTTGTGTAAGATCAATATGTGAGTGTAATTCAGTAAATCGGGTATTTGTAATTAACAATTCACCATTGTTTAAATAAATTGCAACAAACTGCATATTTAACGATATCGATAGTAAACGAATGTCATCACCACTTGAATTTGTAAGTCTCGACAAGTCAATCTAATTAAGTAAAAGAAATAAAGACCTTATTAACAGGTTTATAAGTGTATGAAGAACGTTGTCCAATGCACTTATGCGTGTAAGTAGTTTCATTTAGATCCTCATCAATCGCTCTACTTTAACATACACACAATTTTTCAAGTTAGATCCATCACCAATCAGCTTCATTGGGAAAACCATCGAAAACCCGGGAGTACTGAGCAACTGTCTTTTCAGTAGTACGAACTCACTACTCCACCACGGATTGAAGTTACGAGAAATGCATATAGCCATTTAGTCACTAGGATGGAACCCAATTACTCATAAGCTCTGATTTATGCCAACTCACGGTACGTAGAGCCGCTACCAGCCAATGTGCCTCACACCCGAAATGGTGGACCACGCCAGTGGTCACGAATTTCCACTAAACAACGGGGAATCCACTCAACATCTTCAGTTTTGTACAACACATAAAAACTAAACACTAAATTTTGCAATTTAGTCAGTCTCATAACTCGAATATTGACTGAAAATGTTTGAAACTTTTAGCGGGACGATGTTATTGATGATCACTGATCACCCTGAAATCCATTATTATGTGAATATGAAAAGTGTGAGCCTAGAAAAGTTACAAGGTCAGACATGTTCGTGTACTAATATTTATGAGTTTTTGGCCAACACAGGGGGTAGTTAATAAGATTTCAATTAAAACAAGATGACTGATTCAGTAGTGAGCGGTAGAACGATGCCACTAACCATGGTAGGAAGTCATTTTCAGAGATTGACTTTTAAATATGAAAAACTGCTGGATCTAAACAAGTCCTCATGTAATCTTCTACTACTTACACGATAGATGTCAAAATCAGGGCTAAGAGTGTTTAGGTGGTGAATTTTTGAAACCACGATTTGTAATTCAGTAGGCTAAGTTCGACCAGCGTTAATTCTTCTCTCGAACTTTGCTCGATTATGCGGTGGATTACAAGCTCTTAGTTTTAATTAATTATTTTTTTAAATAAATGTTTTCTCTAAATATCAAATTTCTATACACTGATATATTGAGTTATAAATCGTCAATAGTCATAACACTAACCTAGAAATTCACAAAAGTAAGTTGAAATTTAATTTTTGGTAGTAAACGGAATGTTTCGCAATTAGTTACATGAGCTTACACTTTCAACTGTTCCAAAGTTTGCTCGATATAAATTCTTTTTGCGTGCAATCAACAACCATGGACTTCGAAAGGAATCGGTAGTTCCCAGATCAAGAGGTGTTGTAATAATACTCCATTGTGATAAAGATTGCATGGGTCCAGGTAATTCAGCAAGACGTCGCATTCGTGGCGTTTCAATGCTAGTTGTCAGAAAAATGTGATTTCCACCAGTAAGAACAGCTATACCTGTGTTCTAGAAAAACATACGTGCAATGTCAAAATCATGTGTAACAATAAACAGTGTTCTCAAATACAAATATTTTGGTAAATAAAAGATACATTCATGTACTATTGTTAACCATTCAAAAGTTAAACATACACGGATAACAATTTGATGGAATAATGGCCTGATTAAATAATTATTGGGCTATCTAATTTTTTTCACAAAGCATAATGAGTCAAATTTACTGAATAATACCTTGTTTTAACCATCAATTTACGTTCTTGTAAAGCGATCTCCGCTCACATGCATTCTCCAATTCTCTGCAGAGTACTGCTTCATCTGTTTTGAAGGGATAAACACTTTGAGGGTAGGATCACGTCTCAGGCAGAACGAAATTCCGTCTAGTGATATACTGTAGACTACTGTTTTACTTGAAAATTCTGTACTGTATATAAGCATGTTCAGAATAAAGCTATTATAATATTAATGTTAAACTTTTTGAAAACTAATAAAATTACATAAGTTCAGAAGACTGGAACATGCTTTATCTAAGCATCATTAGTACACATCTTTAAACTGATGTAGTCTAATACTAATTAACTTGTAATGTAAGAAATGTAGTAACAGAACCACTCTAAGCTATTTAAGTATTGAACATTTATGATCTGCTATGTAGTTTGTATACAAACGAAATAAAGCTGGTTAGTTAGGAAATATCCCCTTCCAGTAACGTGCTGAGTGCAATATACTTAAAATTTAATAAATATTGTATTTTAATGAAGCGAAGACTAGCTCCGTTGATAAACCCAAGTAAAGCAAAGTTTTAAAGAAGTATGACAAACACAGACATCATTAGTTAGTGAAAACTAACCAGTTAAACACAACTTTGATAGTTTCTAATCTTAGCCAGTTTCGACTGAAATTAATTGATGATCGAAGGAGAATAGTCCTGGAACCTAGTAGGGCCATGGCTTTTCAGTATCAGTGCTCGACTTTTACTTGGTGGACTCTGTATTAAAATCCTGGTCGTCCTATATTAGCCTAAATTACCAGATAGTATCAAAAAACCTAACAGTCGACGCTGCTGTTAGTCTTATACACGGAAAACTTTAACAGGTGACTTGGTAATTTTAAGCCTACTAACTAATGGACGTTTGGTCGTACAATTAATGGGTTACCTTCTAGATCACAAAACCTATTATTCGATGGCGCCAAACTCATTTTCAGTAAAAACAGAGTTAGATCTGTCACTACAAAGCTAACAGAAACTTGTACTTTGCAATGACTTCAATCAATGATTCTGACGAATTATGCCCCTCAAAACTTAAAAGAAAATAACGTATATGCAGATGCGACCCAACATATCAAATGTCCGTGTACTTTCAAGAGCTAATCTTTAGTAATATTATTACACTAAGGTGCAATCTGAGTGAAGCAAAATAACAAGTAAGCTATACATCGATAATAGAAATTCACATACACTCTCCATAACAAACAGCTTAGCACTGATTATTTCTCTTTCCTCAGCTTCAGGTCCCATACTGAAACGACGAATAAATTTCCCTTGAAGATCCAAAACTGTCGTGAATCCAGTTTTTTGTACAACTAATAAATCTTCTGATAAAGTCCAGCCAACTAATACACCAGGCGCATCCTTCCACTAAAAGAAAAAAAATTGAATTTTTTATCCATCATCTATGGGTGAGTCTCAAACAAAAGAATAAGCGTACAAATGATTAACAGATCGTATAAATTCTCAGCAGCTTAAAGCCTAATATGAGGACGTTCCTAATCGTGAGAAAGATTGCGTAAAGGATTGAGGGTATAACTTGAGAAGTCCAAGTAATTGGTACCCTAAATGAGATAAGTTCGAGAAATGAAGAAAAAACGAGAGCATAGTTTCCGGTGTATTCAGCTGACTACTTGACGAAGACGAAAGATATTACTTTAAATGGATTTAAATTTCGGCAGATCAAGAAAATCGCTGAGGCTAATAGAGTTTACGCCACTTAGAGAACAGATATTGATGCATATATCTAATTAAAAAGCCATATACATTGTGTCAGTTGTCACAAACATAATCATGACTAGAGCTGACGAAGATAACATGACACACAAACTTAAAGAAGATTATAATAAGAAAGCTTTCCAAAACACGGAATTATGTCCATATACACAAGAAGCAATTGTTTATACGGCTAACATGATATAATGAAGGCCGAAACACATAGTTTATGGAGGGAGTAAAAACTGAAGATGGAAAATAAAACTTGACTTTCATTTGGTAGTGAAATTACCTAGGCTGCAATGTTTAACTGTAGACCAAAACACCACAAGATGGATGTTCCTGTATGACATATCATCGACTCTACGAATCTGGGCGTAGAGATGACCAAAATATTTATGAAGATTAAAAATATTTCAATATGATATTTCATTCATTATTAGGAGAGTGAAACAATTTAAAGGCATACGGATATATTTTACTCAGCAAGAAGACACTATAGTAACTTTTTATGTGATTTCTATTTTTACAAGCACTCGCGTATCTGATTCACTTGATACTGTAAAGAATGAACTTGTAAGGAATGAAGGTCTATTAGCCGAAAATTATTATCCACAAAAGATAAGAGTGTTGAGTAAGGAAACTTTCTAAAACGCAGTTGAAAAAAAGTGGTATGAAGAGAATTTAAACCATTTTTTAAAATTATTTATTCAGAAAGATGAATATTTAAAACTATTGTATGTAGGAAGCTAAAGTACTACGATAACCATCTACACTTTAACTCCGTTTATACAATAAGAACAGAAGTAGTTGTAAATTTGCTAACTAGAGCTAAAATCCTTGCAACAAATATGGATGACGTGGAGGACAAGAATACGAAGGTAAGACACTAATTGACTGTATATATTCAGAAAGTCTTCGAACAATACTTTGAACAAAGGTTGCAACAAATAGGAATAATGCGGTTAATATGACAATAGAACAATGAGTATTAAATATGACGATTCCACAACTCGAAGAAATTTTAGAACAATTCGGAAAATAAAGCGAGACTGAACATATTTGTAGCATAAAAAGAGCTTTTTTATTTGATGGCTTTTTATTCACCTATTAGTAGCCTAATAAATGGCACAAGTCATCACAAATACAAAAGTATGTGATATACTTCAAAAATTATTCTAACTGAAAGAGCATAGTTGTGGCGGGAAATGAGTACAACATAATGTGATGGGACTTTCGAGAGAAAAGGATGGGAGTCAAAAGTTTTGGTTAGGATTGCCGCTTAGATTATTCCCGAGTTTCTTAACATCTATGACCCATAATGCATGCTTGCCTAGTTTGAGCACGAGTGGGTCGACAGCATGGCCAAATGAATTATAATAAGTAAATTTGAAATGACGTATTAATCATTAATTCATGAGCCATTTCTCTTTGTATTGTCTAAGTGACTGTCTCGACACATAATAAACATTGTACAGTCATATTAACTCGATCACAACTTTTGCTTATCAGTAACAACTTATTTCATTTGGAAAACATAAGCGTCCACTCACTGCCATCTCTCAATAAGACAAAGGCTGCATCGCTACAAATATTGGTTGTCACATGTGAACATCTAACTTTCACTATTTGTTTGTCCAACCAACACTAATTTTTACCAAGATAATACAATTAGTAGCCCTAAACTAGCAGGTACTTCTAATCTTACAATTTCGGATGTCGTTAAGACAACCACAAACGAATATATTTCTGACTGGTACAGTAACACTTAGTTCCTGTGATAAGCAATTTTTACCACTAGTCGAGTGTTATAACTGATAGAGAAGCAAGTGTAGAAATAGCGCCTCATGTTAAAGGTGGATAGGAATAAAAATTATTATAACATCTGATCTGAATTTATTGTCTCGCTAATTTAAATAGAAGAATTGTTTAATGATGGAAAGTAACATTTAACAAATTATAAACGAATTAATTAACTCACAACATGTTGAGATACAAGCTTGCCTGATGACGTGTAGATTTGAAGTACAGGTTTCGCACCAGCTTGACCATCCAAATACATCGCTAGGTAAAGGTTAAGTGAAAATTACATCTTTTACCAATATAACCAGAATACTGGCAAATGGACATTTTGAACTGAGAAAGGGAAAACCCCATTCCCCATGGCATGTCGTACAGACGCAGCTTTCTAAAACACCATTAAAATGAAATCAATGAATTAAATACCTGAAATATATATCTCCCACAGCGAACCAGTCTTCACCCAGGACTGTCATGTTTAACTGTCATAAAATTCAGCAAAAAGCAACTCTGCTGATAGCTCAGTGAAGATGATTTGTTGGGAAAAATTACAGGTTCCTTGATAAAAAGAATCAAGAATGCAACAAAAAGTAAAATTATGTCACTTATCACATTCAACACGTGTCATAACCTAGAATCTACTAAGGAGCTTCAAAATATCAGCGTTCCAATCTGGATCAAGCCGAGTTTGATCACATACAAACTGGAACGCCCGGATAAAGTGTAGATGACGGAAGAAACTACTAAAAATTTCCAACCGTAAGGCAGAAAATCAACAATTATTGGTTTGAATTGTATGGATTCTCAAGGTGCGAAATTCCGCATAATTACCAGACGCAATTAGGGATAAAAAAAAGAACGACATAAGAAGTCGCAGAGGAAATTCAGTTTCACCAGATTTTAGGATACAAATAGTAACTGAAAACTGTGAGTTTCGTTAAGCAATCACATCAAGATTTGAAACAAAAAGGATAGATGAGGATTGAGTTTTGCTTCAGATTTTTATACTTCATATCAGTCTGTCTGTCTCTGTTTGGATTCAACATAGAACTTGGCACCAAAGTGCAACAGTTCGAGTTGCCACGTTCCAAATAGAACACAAAGGTAGACAAGAAGAGGAGTGGAGAGAATCAGTAGAGTTTGACAGGTATAAGAGTGAAACAGAATGGGTAATGGTAGAAAGGAATATGAAAGATTACAGAGACTGAATACATCTGCGCTGGCCATTGACAACGATTTTGAGCCATGTCACCTATTGTCTCCAGCCATTGATTCCTAGAGTCCCGAGGGCCCCGACCCGGAAGTCTGCATCTCCCTACCTGACTCAGTTTAACTGTCAAGGATTTCATGGATTGATGCCATGTTTTTGTTTGGCCACCACTTACTCTTTTCCAACCTGCACCTATATCAGCTAGTAATGCCCGTCGTCGGGGGAGGCGAGGCGATGGTTAGGCATGTGCAGCACCAATGGACTGATTGGCGATGAAATCTCAGCACGGATCCGAAAAGCTCGAGCTGCTTTCGCTGACCTACACCATCTCTGGTGTAGGCGTGACATCCGGTTATCAACCAAGGGACGTGTGTACTGCTCATCAGTTCGCTCCGTCCTTCTCTATGGCTCTGAAACATGGCCAATACGCGTTGAAGACATGAAAAGGTTGAGTGCTTTCGATCATAGATGTCTGCGATCTCTGTCTCACGTTAGGTGGTTTCACAAGGTAAGTAATGTTGACGTTAGGCGTAGAGTGTTGGGCAAAGAGGGAAAATCAATCGACGAGGTTATAAAGTTACATAGACTAAGATGGCTAGGTCACGTGGTGCGCATGCCTAACCACCGCCTCCCCCGACGGGCATTGTTAGCTGATATAGGTTCAGGTTGGAAAAGAGCCAGTGGTGGCCAAACAAAAACATGGCATCAATCCATGAAATCCTTGACAGTTAAACTGAGTCAGGTAGGGAGATGCAGACTCCCGGGTTGGGGCCCTCGGGACTCTAGGAATCAATGGCTGGAGACAATAGGTGACATGGCTCAAAATCGTTGTCAATGGCGCAGATGTATTCAATCTCTGTAATCTTTCATATTCCTTTCTACCATTACCCACTCTGTTTCACTCTTATATTTGTCAAACTCTATTAATTCTCTTTACTCATCTTCTTGTTACCTCTGTGTGCTATTTGGAACGTGGCAACTCGAACTGCTGCACTTCGGTGCCAAGTTCTATGTTGAATCCAGACATGTGCAGCACCTGACCTAGCCATCTCAATCTATGTAACTTTATAGCCTCGTCGATTGATTTTCCCTGTTTGACCAACACTCTACGCCTAACGTCAACATTACTTACCTTATTATACCATCTAACGTCAGAAAGAGATCGCAGACATCTATGATCGAAAGCAGTCAACCTTTTCATGTCTTCAACTCGTATTGGCCATGTTTCAGAGCCATAGAGAAGGACGGAGCGAACTGTTGAGCAGTACACACGTCCCTTGGTTGATAGCCGGATGTCACGCCTACACCAGAGATGGTGTAAGTCAGCGAAAGCAGCTCGAGCTTTTTGGATCCGTGCTGAGATTTCGTCGCCAATCAGTTCGTTGGCGCTGATACAACTTCCCAAATAGGTGAAGTGGTCAACATGTTCTATCACTTCCCTCTCTATCACTAAGCTAGGAGTTGACGTAGTCCAGTCCTGTAGCATCATCTTACATTTTGCAGGGGCGAATCGCATGCCAAACATACGAAGATTGCTGCTCAAGGTGTTCAGAAGACTCTGCATTTTGTCAGCATCCTCCCCTAACAGGACTATGTCATCTGCATATTCTAAGTCCATAAGACTATACCCTGGTAAAAAGTCGATTCCTAAGTCGTTAAGTTCATTTAAGGATACTTCCATTAGCATATCTATGATGAAGTTAAACAGAAATGGGGAAAGTGGACATCCCTGTCGGACACCACTGGTTGTTACCAATTCAGATGACAATTCCCCATAAGCCCTTACACGGCCTTGATTAGTGCAATGTACTTTCTTGGTACTCCCTTCACAGTCAAACATTGCCGTAGTATCTTTCGATCCACGGAGTCAAAGGCCGCCTTCAAGTAAAGAAATATGACAATTGTTGGACGCCAAAAAGTGTGTCTATGTTCTAGGATCTGTCGGAGAGTGAAGATATGATCTATGCACCCTCTACCTGGTCTAAAGCCTGCTTGATTTTCCCTCGTCTGTTCCTCCCGAGTTCTGCTTAGTCTATGCATGATTACTGAGCCTAGGATTTTAGAGACTATGTTCGTTAGGCTGATCCCCCTATGATTATCACACGAGGACTTGTTTCCCTTCTTGAATATCGGTATAATAAGTGACTTACCCCAGTCTGATGGCACTGTCTCTGATTCCCAGACGTTTCCTAGTACCTCAGTTAATCTACATACTAGTATGTCACCCACATATTTAAACACCTCCGGAATAATTCCGTCGGGTCCTGCCGCTTTGCTCCGTTTCAAATTACTGATAGCTTTTGTGACCTCACTTACAGACGGCGGACCAGTGTCTATATCCCATTCGGGTGTGTGCTGGATGGCGGGGAGGTTCAGTGTGGCTGTAGGCAAGTTAAATTGTTCCTCAAAGTGTTCTTTCCAGCGTTCAAGGCGTCTATCCTGAGAGCTAATTAAGGAGCCATTTTTCTCAGAAATAGTCTCACTTATGAATTGCCTTCTCCCACCCGATCCTCTGATGAGTCTAAAGAGTTGCCTATTGTTGATGCTTTTTCCATCTCTTTCGCCTTTGTCACCCACCACTGTTCACGGTCCTTGCGGAGACTTTTAGTAAGTTTCCTTTTGTGCAGCTTTCGCTCCTCATTGAATTCGGAGCTCGCCGGAATAAGTCTTCTAGCATCTATCAGTTCGGATGAGGCAGTCGAAATCCAGTGGTTTTTACTCACCTTTGGATTTGCCTTATTCACAGCTTTTACAGCTGTATCTATAGCTGACTGAATATTCTTCCAGGCTTCTCCAGGGTGAGCACAGCTGTCGAATTCAGATATGCGTTTAGCTAGTTCTTCCTCAAATAGGGATTTAGTTTCCTGATCGAGCTGGGGACGTGATGGTTTTACCGCCAGCTGTTTCCTACGTCCGTTCAGTCGTAAGCACACACGAGCCCGGACCAGTGCGTGATCGGTATCTACACACGTGTTCCAGAAGGAGCGACAATCTCCTACCGACCCACGCCAACGATAGCTTATTGCTATGTGGTCTATTTGTGTCCAGCGTTGGTTTGATGATGGGGGTCGCCAGGTTAAACAGTGTCTCTCCTTGTGTTTAAAGTTAGTGCTTACAAGAAACAAATGATTATCTGAACAGAACTGTAGGAGACGGTCACCGTTGTCGGTTCGCTGGCACGGAACTCCATAGGTGCCACCGACATCCTTCTCAGATTGACACAATTTCCCTACTTGAGCGTTAAAGTCACCAGCTAGAACGACTATATCTGAGCGTTTAGCCTTTCTCACCAAACTAGACAGCTTTTGGTAGAACTCATCCTTCGTTTCATCCGAACTGCAGTCAGTGGGGGCGTAGGCGGAGATTACGAAAAGGCATCGGCGAGTAGTGCAGTCCTTTCTCCTTCTTACTGATCCGTTCAGACGGACAGCACACATTCGGCTATCTACCGGGATCCAGTCAAGCAATGTCTTTTCTGCCCTAGTACTCAAAGCTATCCCTACGCCAGCTAATCCTCGTGAACTAGCTGTGGCATCTCCTGACACCCTCAAGGTGAATTTTGAAGATTCATCCTGTTGGCCAGGTGGGGTTAGGTGAATAACCACACTTGGGTCTTGTATGCGTGTTTCTGAAACACAACATACATCAATGGCTCGGGATGCCAGGGTCTTAGCTAGTGATGCTTGTTGTCCTATTTGGCAAAGTGTCCTAACATTAAATGCTCCTATATGAAATTGGTGGCGTGGCTTTAGGAGACTATCGGTGGTGGTTTTTTGGCTTCCGTCGTTTTTAGTGGACACAGAGTGAAGAGGGAGTGAGGAGCCATCAAGTAGAGGAGTTGCATCAGTGGAAGGAAGGCAAGATGATAGAGATGAAGATGAAGACAAAGATAAGTGAGTATTAGAGAGGTTTTGTGTGCGTTTCGGATTGTGAGGGCGATTGTTACTTCCCGGCTGCCCACACCGTGGAAGTTGGTTGCGTGACCGCAGAGCCCAGGGGACAACTGCTTGTGGCCGGTCACACGCGGCCTGTTTTTGTTCGTTCTCTTTTGTTTGGTGTGCCTCAGTAGCATACTTATCACTCCTGCCCTGTGACACGGCAGCAGGAAGCGCGGTCGTTGTTAATCCGGGCCACGGCCGATCCGGCATGAAATTTTGTGAATTTGTATTGATCATGATGTTGGATTGGGTAGCTGCTTTTTGTTTAACCGCTATCCAAACAACCTGCCTGGCATGGTAGAACCTCAAGAGACATAAGTCTCAGCCA